ATGCTGGCAAAATTGCTAAATTTCTCTAGCTACAGTTTTTCACTGTTATCCCAAGAAGTAGGCATAGTACCTGTGTTAGCCTGTTCTTTTTACTCATCGTTTCTTCTAACTGTGTTGAAATACAGCGTGCTTGTGCATGTTCCAGTTTACTTTCAGGGTCACTTCAGTAAATGAAATCATAAAGTTTTTGGCTGAGCAACTGAAAGTAGCTGAAATTCTAAATTATCATGTCCTTGGAACAGTATTCCCTCAGCATGTTCATTGTATTAGCATAAAGTGTGAGTAAGCTTAATAAAGTAGTAAATACATAATTCAACTTGATCTACATTCTGCAGGGTTGGAGCCTGCCAGTTTATGTGGCTGTAAAACACTGTGTTTATTTGGTACTTTTAAACTAATGAATATAATGTCTATAAAGTCAGGCTGTAATTTCTCTGTTTGCAAATCACTTGAACTGGAAGAGGTCGCTAGTGAGCCGTGCAGCGTATCCTGTCCGGGTTGTGATGGAGTTCTCCTGTGCACTTACCCATTCTTAGCAGATTAAGAGGCAGAAAGGCTGTTTTAATTAAGATACGTGAAATTTTGAAATTTCCTTGAATTTAATATGCACTCCTCTGGTATGTTTCTAAAGCCTGACTAATTTTAGTCACAAAATATGTTGTGCCTTTTTTTTTTTTCCCCAAATGCTTGAAATTGAGTCAGTCTGGATGGTATGGAATGTAGCTTATATTTAGCTTGCGTCACCGAAAGTAGTACATAAATAGAAAGGTTTACACAGTACGTAAATAGAAAGGTAAGACTAGAAGAGCTGCTTTTGGCGAATTCAGACTCTTGCCTGTTTTGTTTGCTTTTCAGGCTCGGCAGACCTGGGGGTGTGTCTCCATAAATCGTCTAGTGGTTTGGATTTACCCATGAAGGTGGTCGATATGTTTGGCTGTTGTTTACCTGTGTGCGCAATATATTTTGCATGGTAAGAGCTTGCTTATTCTGATACAGTTTAAGTGGATCCTATAAAACAGTATTCTTAAAAAGCAAGAGTCCAGCAGCTACTGCATGTATCAACTGAGATTCCAGTACTGTACCATAATAACTTTTTTTTTATTCGGTAAGTTAGAAATTGAGGTGGATTTATTTTGAGTGAAAAAACTTAACACTAGTTTCTGCAAAGTTGGGAGTATTTAATGCAACCACTTCCCTTAAAAATACTTACCCTGTAATGCTTTGTTCCATACTTAATTTCAAGAAGGCTTCCTTCTGTATAGACGTGTCTCTGTTCTGTGGAGGGGTGAGTGAATGCATAGTCAGTCTTAGAATTTATGGTCCTTTGAGGAAACAGTAGCTTTTACAAAGAAAGGTAAATTCTCTGTGAAGATCTCATGAACTGGATCCTGCACAGATTTTCCTTGTGTGTTAGTTGTAAAGTAGATTATTGCCCTGATTCTGAATATACGTCCAGGTGAGTGGCACAAAGACAGAGTACTTTTGTACTGTAATGGTAGATTTAAACAGTCTGACATAGAAGGGAAAAACAATCTTTAAATTTAAACATTTAAAACTGTCTTCTTCATTCCATTTTGTCATGTATGAAGCTGATATCTAGCCATGCAGCACGAGCTATTCAGATGTCACTATGCAACTTTTTAAACGTATATGTCCCTCTCGCTGCTATTTGTCTCACGTTTTCTTCTATGACTTTCATTCACAGTTTACATGAACTTGTGAAACACAATGAAAATGGTCTGATATTCAGGGACTCAGCCGAACTTGCAGAGCAACTAAAGGTAAAGGCTTGACTGATTTTTCTTTCCCACTAGCTCTAGCTGCAAAGGTGCTACCACGTGAGCCACCATTCCATATCTGACTATTATCTGTGTATTTTGCATTCTTAGAAGATACTGCTTTGCCTGGTGGATGTTGTTAGCCTCGCTTCTGTTTGAATGCGAATTTGATGCTAGCAAGAACATTTTAAATACTGTCATCGTTCACTATTTTACAGGGCCAGACCAGGGATAATGTCTTTTACTGCAGCACTGTAGTTCAGGGTTAATGTTGGGGAGGCTAGAAGGAGCCTGAAATGTAATATGATGGTATTTTTCCGTGTTTTTCCTTTTTAACTTCTAGATCCTTTTTGAGGGATTTCCTACACTGGAAGGCAAACTTCACAGCTTCAGAAAAAACCTTCGTGCATCCATGCAGCTGTGCTGGGATGAGAGTTGGGACCAGACTGTTCTTCCTTTGCTTGGGCAGAATGAGTGACTTTGTGGGGGAGGAGGGTGTCAAAAAAGCTAATGCATTCCTGGGGCTGCGTAGATTTGATAAATAGTGAATAAACACTTTGTCTATAGTTGCAGTTTTTAACTACTTCATCTTGGAACAAGTGTTCAGACACACCTCTTCCTTTTACAATCTGAGCTCCTCACATGAGTCAGAAGAGTGCTGAAGGTGCAGCCGAGGCTATTGGTTGTGTGCTAACAGTGTAAGTCTTGAGGGAAGACATGGTTCCGGTGCTGAAGAGCTTGAGCCTTGCCATCTGGACTGCCTTTCCTTCCTTACCACTTGGGGTGAATCTTTAGAAAGTGGGAGGGAGGGTTAGTTACTCTAGGAAATAACTCAGTATGTGCAAAATCTGTTACCTGTGCTGCTTAAAGGTCACTCTTTGGTGAAGATACTTGAATACATAGCTGAACTATTACCAGTCGTACCTGTTGTACAGTAAGCAGTACAGTCACAGTAGGCGATTTGGGTATGTTTTCTTGCGAATGGGAGATGCCTTTTCTTTGAATTGTTTTATTTGAGCTGAGAATACAGTGGGGTGTTTATTTTTTCAATCAGTTCATATTCTTCACTAGTCTTCCCTAGACAAATGCAGAATATTCTCTTGTATGACTTTATTGAGATGCAACCATTTTGTTTCAAAGTTGTTGTCCTTTTTACAGTGTGCGTGCAAGAGTGTGAAAGCACAGCCACTGGTATATGACAGCTTTATTGAACACTTAGAGGAAAATAGACTTCTCAGTGAGTGTTGTCCTTGTACGCTGAAGTGAAGGTGCCCGTTTACCTTGAGAAAGAACATGGAATTTCTCCCTTTTTTGAACAGATGAATAGAAAAGGAAAAAATAAAAACAAACGCTATTATTGAAGTATGTATAACCTAATAAAAGGGCACTTCACTGTCTTGAGTGCTCGCTCAGGTATACCCTTCATCTTTTTACTGTTAATATCAGTGTTCATATGCAGACATAATGCTTACAAGATGCTTTTTTCATCACCTTTTGGATTATAAAATTGAAGGAATAAATGTGTGTGGTTTTACCATGTGATTACTGCTCGCATTGACTCTTCAGAGTTCTTCATTCAGTGGTGGTAGATGGTTACAGAGGGTTCTAGCAGCATTTTTAAACCCGCTTACTGAGAAATCATTTAATATCTGCTTTTGTCAAGCTAGACAGCCATTTGCTAATCTTGCCTTTTGCCTTCTGCACTGTGGTTAGAGTAGACACACTCTCTTGTGAAAAAAGATTGTTGACAGTGGTTTGGTTCCACTGGTGGGAAGGTGAAAATAAGAGTCCAAGTTGCTTACTGCGGGAGTTTGGCAATTTCACTAGTTTATTGGCTGAAGAATGATCCGTAAAGATTTATTTGCCAATTTTCAAATTTTTTTTTCCTACTGTTTTCAAGCAAAATCCTGTCCGGTAGTTTGTCTGATCCTGTTTAGCCATTGATGTGCACACAGAGGTAAACTAGGCACTTCTCTAATTCCACAGTAATGCTGAAAGCTTTAGAGAGGTTTCATCTTCCTGTAATAAAATTTTTAGATCCAAAATGAGCCATCTGTACAGAATTTTTGAGTGACTTGAAGAATTTTGTGTAAGGGGAGATAAAGGAGTTCCTGTTTGGGCTGCTACTCTGCATTTACTCTGTAAATAGTACCTCTGAATTCTTCCTTCTCAGGGAGAGGTAGCTAAAACCTGAAGTGGGGTTACTTCTGTATATCCAGCTTAATACTAGCAGTTGTGGCTTCCTCCAGCTTGAAGAGCAAGATGATTCTTCAAGTTACCTGTCATCCATTTTCTCTCCATTACTACAGGAGGAGGCTAAAGTATTTATTAATTTTCTTTTAAGTGGCTTTTAAACCAAGGTACAGAAAAGGAAGTCAGGAGAAAGAGCAGCATATTTATTTTCTGTTTGAGGACCAATAGTGTCTGACAGGAAAATGATAGATTATGGAAAGTTTCAAAGAAGGTGAGCTCAATTATTCCTCCTTGCAGTATATGTAGAGCATTGCTAGAGAGTACGATTCTTTTTTTGTTTTCTGGCCCATCTGAGAGGATGGCTTCCTGATAGCTAGTTGTGAAAGTGACAGTCCTTATGTGAAAGAAAGGTAAATCAAGTTCTGGTTTTTGTCATCACTGCAGAGTAAAGATGCACCTGATTGACAGCAGACTCTACTACCTCCTCTTAGAGCATCATGTAAGCTTGTGACACTATCATCTACTACATTCACTGTAGGTATTACTCATTAGTCATTTTTAAGATCACCCGTACTGCAAGTATATACAGACAAGTATAAAAAAACAGGAGACCATCACAGCTGATTTTAATATTAAAAAATATTTATTACTATGAAACATTGTTTTGCTCCCTTGTTGGTGTGAGATACTCATCCTATGAGCCTGCAGATGTGTCTCCATTATTGACAAATCAAAACACAGTTGGGGAAAAAAAAATACAGTTCAATTTTGCTGTCTTCTACAGACTCAGTGCAGTATGATTAGGGCTTTTTTTTTTTTTCTATTGCTTGAGGTTCACGGCTACTTTTCAGGGGCAGCAGCTTGCTTGCATACATAGGAAGAAATGTAATTCACTTTGACAAGGGTCGGTCATATAGTTGTATCCTCAGTGCCTCTTACACATGTTTCTAGAATTCAAGATAATTGCATTGCAAGGATGAGATAGCTCCTGTTGGTCTGAAAATTCTAATTATGTCATGTTTGCCAAGTCTATATAAATAGCTGTAGAATAGTTGCATTTGGCTGCATGTCATGGAGAAAAGTCCTGTTGCTGTGGGCTGGAATGATCTGCCATCCGATCCCAACTTTATCTGTAAAGAGAAACAATGCGAATCATATTTCTGCGTAATAAAATGAAGAGCAAAAGTTGCACGTGAAGTTGTGTAAGAAGAGGTCTTTAGCATGCTGTTAAAGCAAGCTACAGGCAAATGCTTATCAGTATGTATTTTTAAAAATCAACAGTAATGCTGCTGCTACGCACTCAGCATAATTTTGTGAAATAACCAACTGCTGTAGACCAGCTGTACAGCTAGTAGACTGCAAAAGACGGGCTTGTGAAGAGTATATGAAGAAAAATCCACAATCCCTCCTGATTTTATTTACTCTCTAGTTGTTTGGGGTATTTTTAAACTCCCAAAGAACAGTGAAGATAAAGGATTTAGGCTGCATCTTGAACATTATCACTGTGACAATGCAGCACAGATGTTTTTTCTCCAAGCTTAACCCTTTCTTAGTTTCCTATTGCCACCACACTTGGAAATCACCTCAAGCTGGCACTCTTAACAAATGCGAGTTGTGATAGGCAGGATGTAGCAAAAAGCTAAGTTCCAATCTCCTGATCAAATCCACGTGGAAAAGTTAGTGCTCTTAGGCAGGCTGCTTTTCAATCCAGCTCTAGGATAAGAATCTCACTATTGGACAACACCCACCACCAAAAAATCCTCCTGTTCAAAGAGGCCAAAACTATTGATGCACTCGATGAAAAAGGCACCTACCAAGTTCAGCCTGGAAGAGGTGATATGTGTCTGGATTACGAATTGCGGAAGCAATGTAGACCTCGGGAGGTTTTCTATCTGCTCTGCAAGTGGAGAGTTTTTGTAGCATGCCGGTCAGGGCTAAAATTATCTCTGGGTCATATATCACATCTGGAAAGCATTCAATATTTATTGAGAATTGAGTAAAAAGCAGAATGAAAACCACAAAACAAAACCAAAGTATTCACCTTGCTGAAAAATAGAATTTTTGTACTTGGGGGGTTAAAAATTCCCCAAGAGAGATAGTGGAAAATGCCTCTATTTACATGCTATGTCAAGTGGTCCTCATCTCTAATATGATAAAATTGCTAAAAATCACTACTCCTTTTTGTAATTGGACTGTCAGATACTGTGTTTAAGCCCATCTTAAGGGAGACAGCAAAAATACTGAGCGTTGTTACTCTTACAACTGTCCTTAGCAGAAAAAAACCTGCGTTGCTCACAATCTGTATTTTAAAGGCTGATTGCAAAAGACTCAATTCAAACTGCAGCAGTTTTCATCTTGAATAAATTCCTTAAGAGCAGAAATAGTGATGAAAGGTAAAACTGATCACGAAGGGGTACAAAATGTCAGCCTTGCTAATTAGCACCACGATTCTGAAATGTGTCAGTCTTGTGTTCAGGACCGGTACTAAAGAGGTGGTTGTTTACTACACAGAAACATTGAGGCATGTTGACTTAGTTACTCTTGATGTAACGTAAGCAATCAATCAGTTACTCTTGATGCAATGTAATAACGTCCTGCGGTAACTAGCAAGAGCAAACAGTAGCTAGCAATAAATCATCTTCAGTTTTGAATTGCCTTCGTGAGTCCAGCTTGGGCTGGTTTGTACGTTCTCAGAACAGTATGGGTGGCGTTGGGTAATGTACAGAGAGTGACCTCATTTTACAGGATTCACATATTTAATCACATTTCTTCACCTAAATTCTTAGGTAGTTTTTGCTTTGCAAAGCCCCAAATCAGGGAGTAAAATCCTGTAGCTACAGCTAAGAAATTTTACTATTGGTAGATTTTCCATTACTAGATTTTTATGAACTCCCTCCAGATTTATACATAGGCAAGTGCCCAAAAAAGTTATTTTCTTTAAAAATATCTGTTAGCCCTCAAAGAGAATGAAAAGACTGACATTTATGGATGAGGCTCTTCAAAGTGGCAGAGTTACCATCTTCTGTTTCTGGATTTTAAAGAAAAAAAATTATTTTTTTTGTTTAAATCCAGAAGGGAAAAATAATTTACTTTTCAGCCTTACATAAACAACTGTTGAATATCTGAAAAAGACAGAATGGTGAAATGAACTGGGAGAAGATCTGTCATACGCTTCCAGATACCATAACTGGAGTCGGGTCCTGCACACAAACACCTTTGCGTTTCTCTCTCTAACCTGCTTACTCCTGTGTGACAGGACACAGCAAGGTATAATCAGAAGCGTAAAGCACCTGCTGCAATGACGACGTCAGGTTGAAGATCCAACAGTTGCTTTTCTGTCACTGAGCCCCAGTCAAGTTCTGCAACAACTAGTTTTGGGTTTTGGTATTTCGTTGCTTCTGTCTGCTGGCCCTGGGACTCTGTCAGATGAGCAGTTTCAGACTCCAGGACAAAGCCATTCAAACGGATGTTTTCTGTCAGCTGTTTGAGAACACAGGGGTGGCAGTCACTAAATATATATGCCTTGGGATTGCAGGTTTTACAGATTGCAATTCCAGTGAAGCCGATCCCACTTCCCAGTTCCAAGACTGTCCTGAAGGGTGATGGAATAAAAGTAGTACTTATTAGGACTCTAAATTGAGTTAGGAAATAAAACCATTCTATCTAAAGGTAAAATCAGTTACAGATTGTTTCAATAATTTTTGTGTAAACCATCTACAATCTAATTTTTGTTTCAAATAACTGGTAGACTTGGTAAACACCAAAGACGCAATCATAAGCATAAAAATGAAGTACTTGAAATACTGCTTTTGCATATGGTACAAAGCATTTCCACCTCTTTTTAGACTTCTGCATCATAGTTTTCTCCATCTAAACTGGTTGTCCAGTTCTTTTCATAGCCGGTGGAGACAAACTGACACTTCAGCACAGTTCCTTTCCTTGTGAGGTTGATACTTAAAACTAACAACTTAGCTGAATCTGTCCTCAGAAGTGCTTGTTCCTCTCGACTGCTTCTGAACAAAGTCTAGACTATGAAATTCGATGTGCACACCTGCACATCAATCATCTAAAGTTAGGCGAGATGAATCCCATCATGGAGTGAAGCATGCTAGCCGAAGCTACTGGCTAGACAGTGCGGTAGCTGAAATTTAACAGCCTACTTTAGGGAGCACGTCTGACTGCATGGTGTAATGGTTTTGATCTTAAAACCTGTCTTAAAATAACGAGGTCCTCTCCTAGATTGAAGTTGGACTGTTGCAGAGCAGCCGAGAGCAGCCGTTAGCCAGTAGCAAAAGACTGTAGTCATTTCAGTTAAATGGGGGGTAAATATTGTATATTATTAAATTAACATTGCGTAGCTCGCTCACAATATGAAAGAAAATACCTTGGCTTCCCTCCCCACCCCTCCATCTGTGTTGCTGTCCTTACCTGTTACTGAAAACTGTGGAGTTCTTTATTGCCCATTCAGCGAGATGAAGAGCAGCATCCCATGTGACGAGCCCCGTGGTTCCTCCGGAGATTATCGCCACGCTCTCAGAAAGGGTAACAGATTCTCCCGTGGGCTGGAGGACCCACGCAAGAGAAGAAAGATGGATCAGCACAGACAATGGATTTTACAGTTTAGAATCGCTATCAGCACCTGGAAAAAGGTAGGATGCACTCTGGGTTTCTGGGGGGGGTTACTTTTAAAGCCACTTATTGCTCAGTTTAGATAATTAAGAGTGATTTATAACAATGCGGCATTAGTTCTTACCAGTAAGTAGTTTTTGTAACAGTGAGTAGATTCTTCTTCCTTTAAAATATCTGCCAGTGTATCATACAGTTCATCCAGGGGTTCAGCTGCTGTGGATTCATGCTGCGCGAAGGAGAGCCGGGCAGTTTCGGGTATCAAATTGCCATGAAACAGAAAACTTACACACATTAATTCCCATTTTAATACATTGTTGGCCATAATTTTTTACAGTGAATGCTATTCTTTGTTAATATAAATCATTCAGCTTGGCCCATAATGTAAAAACGGCCTATTTTCAAGAAAAACAAAAAGTTGCAACCAACATGAAAAGTAACCACTACCTTTTTGATGAGTTCGGTTAGAAAGCATCTTCTGTACTTGGTGGAAGGGGGATATTTCACACACAGCGGGTGGAGAACAGTCTAAACCAACAAAACAACAACTGCAATTGAAACCAGTTACCAAGTGAAGATTTTATGAAAGGCGGCAAAGGGCCAGAGAAAGACACGGGAGGCATTAGTTGACGCTGTGTCATGAAATTGTGATGTAATCTGTAGCTTAAAGAAGTGATGCTGAGCCAGAAAATGAAATTTGGTGACTTCTGGTCAGTTTGTTAGTTTACAGATCTGCGGCCGTATATGTGTTTTTCACTTTTCAGAAAGTAAATGGCAAAACCAAGCAGAAAGAGAGTCCAGTTAAGCTCTTATTTTGCTTTTCGCTTCTCTCTTTTTCTGTTTAGCTGCCTTATTTGCGATTTCCAGCCCACATGCAAAGTTTAAGCACCATAAAGGTGCTTAAACTCCTGTGAGGGCAGGCTGGGAGAGCTGGGGGGGCTCAGACTGGAGCAGAGAAGGCTCCAGGGAGACCTTAGTGCAGCTGCCGGGGCTGAGAGGGGCTGAGGAGAAAGATGGGGACAGACTTTTTAGCAGCGTCTAGCAACAGGACAAGGGGTAACGGCTTTGAACTAAAAGAGGGCAGATTTAGACTAGATATAAGGAAATTTTTCAGTGAGGGTGGTGAAGCCCTGGCCCAGGTTGCCCAGAGAGGTGGTGGATGCCCCATCCCTGGACACATCCCAGGTCAGGCTGGACAGGGCTCTGAGCACCCTGCTCTGGTTGAAGATGTCCCTGCTCACTGCAGGGGCTTGGACCGGATGGCCTTGAAAGGTCCCTTCCCACCCAAACCCTTCTATAAGTCTTAAGGGTCGATGCATTCCCACAGTGGCTGTGGTTTCCCAAAGGAAAACTGTGACAAAAAGTCACTTTTCTTTGTAATCATGACAAAAAAACCCAGCAATTGCTTTGGTTGCACGAGGCGTCATCGCGCGTTCGCGGCGGTACCACTGTGACACCAAGCATCCCACCTTACCTTGTGCAGAATATCCACGAGCAGGGAGGAATCCGGGGAAGTCCGGAGGTTTTGTTCAAGTTCCTAAAACAGAGGAAATAAAGCTGAGGCTTCCCCGTCCCCT